TTACTCCAGCTTGTGACTTTTCTTTTAGGAACAGGTTTATACCATTGCCGCGAGATTGGTTCATGTTCCAAGATGTACTGATTGGATGTATTTTCCTCGTTGCTCTCCTACCATTGTGAGATCGGTGGATGTGCTTAGCAACGTTTTGTGGTGCCATGATATTTTATTGCTACTGGTTTAAAATATTACGTGTTGCTCGAATAAAATCCGTTTCGGTTTTGATATGTGTTGCACCAAAAAATGTCCTTATATAAGAAGCAGGTAGAGACTTAAGCTTTTTGTAAAAACTTAGGCCCCCATATTTCCTTCTCTGGTTTTCTACCTGTTCCCAGCTAACTTTCCAATGCTCTATATGAAATGTCGAAATTAAAAAATACAGGTAGAAGGAAATGGGCATTTACAGAAAAAGTTCTATGCCAATAATTTTGATGTTTCCACTGAAAGCAACTGTGACAATGAAGAAATAAACAAAATACTACTCTATTCAGGCTGTAGACTTTGTAAAACCCACTCTTTGTTATAGATATCAAAACATCTTAAACTATTTCAGTTATGCTAATATTGGGTAGTCGAAAAAGTCTTTTCGTATCTCTAATCAAACTTCAACTTCTTTTTATATACTACACTATATTACATTTTCCGGCTAGATACATTATTCCATCGGTGTAAAACTTTCACAACAAAATTTCCCGAACGAAACGAAGTAGTACAGCAACGTCTCCGTAAACTTCAGAGATTTTATTGGTGGCTTCCGTGACATTCTTCCTGTTTTATACAAAAATTTCAAAATATAGCGGATTTCTTAATTTTTGAATAGCTGAAACAAAATGCGAAACGATTTTTTCGACTCGAAGGAATTAGGAAATAGGTTTGAAATTTATGTAAACTGTTAAGTAATATTTTATTATCAATAAAAGAAAACTTCTTAAAATATTTATATTCAACTAATAAGGAGCAAAAATATATAGTATAGGTGCCATTCACTATCGGATCGAATTTATCTGTGAGAGAATGGAAGTATACACGTAACGATACCTGGTTACCTTCTCTTTCGGGTCACGCCCACCTTCAAAACAAGAGCAGGTAATCTTTTTTCATTGTTGCTTCCTAAAAAGCCGATGAGTAGCCGACCGCCCGTTTTACGTTGTCCTTGAAACGATGTGATATATGCTTTAGAAAATAATAGTTTATGTTTGTTTCAAAACCGTAATGGTAATTGTTTTGGAACACAGTTTTGTTGGGATCTGGATCCTTCTTCTACACATCCTTTTGTTTAACAATAACACCTCAAAAGTTTTGACGTTTTCTAAATTAATGATTTATAAATAGTCCTGCAATCAATATATACTTCGGTAATTTCATTTAGGTTAAAAAAAGAAAAGATTTTTGAACTTGTCGTATTTTCCAAAGTACTATCCTTTAACCTATTTGAAAAGAATAACTAAATTACTTCAAAATTAGGATATTATAAAAAACTAATCGTACTCACTCTTCACAAGGCCTTTCAAGCATAGTTTAATACGTAGGTGTTTGGTAATAACATAGAACGCATAGCCTCAGGATTTATTTGGGCAAGTTTAAAGGCACACTTAAAAAAGGTGGTTAGCGCAGGAGCAGGGGATATGCCGGCGGAACTTAAAATGTCTATAAGGTAAATGGAGTGTGAGCCGGGTTCTATTGTTCGGAGCTGGATCTCAGGCGACCTTTCAATCAACGCAGTAAACCGTATAAAGAAGATATACTATCTTATCGCGTTATATCAGAGAATGTCCTTAGAAACAGGAAGGCAATAGATATACCGACTGACGGAAAGCGGATTCATATATACAGGGTTCAACCACAAAAAAATTCCCAGAAATGAAATAATTGATAAAATTGCCAAAAGTGGGATCTGTCTGCGATTAGGCAAGCGTGAAGGATATGTGTTGCTTCTGCCTTGAAAATTGAGGCAAGAGGAGGTAGTATAGCTGACATGATTATAGAGTTTTTCTTAACGACACTGAATACCACATTATTGTAATCCTTTGGTCCATCTGAGAAGGCTTGGCATCACTGGACACTTTAAAAGAACATTAATTTCCCTTGCAGCATGGATTAGCGTTTATAAGGCGTTTTTCTTTTGTTAGTGCGGCTTCAACAGGAGAGCATTCGACATTGATCAATTTCGTAGTCATGCTTCCGGTGATGGCTATAAGGAAAAGTGTTACGGACAAAGGAAAGACTTGTGAATACTTGTCATTGTTAACTTATCGCCCTATTAACTTTTACATGCATTTTTCTACTGAGAAGGTAGTGCCTTATATAGTTAATTATTTTTGGATCAACATTCCATGCGGTCACGACCTTTAATTTCAAAAGTCGGTTATTATGTCGCGATACAGATCGCCACTGACGGTTCCTTTCTCACCGGCATTTTTTTGAAGAAATGTGAATTGCTCTCTCTTCGTCCCAATGTGGCAATTTCGCTTCTTTAAATACCTATTGCGACAGAAATGGGCCTAATCACTGCACAAAGTTTGCCTCGGAAATGTCGGATTTTCTTGGAACGTTTCAAGAGTCCATAGAGCAAAGCGTTATTGCTTTGGAAGCGAATAAATGGATATAAACGATAACCTATTTTATAAGTAGGCTAATCAAATGATGGAGTTATTTATCTAATCCCAGAACTCGAATTTACATTTATCGATATTGTTTATTTAACTAAAAGAAACTAACTCTCACATCTTACAGATAATATAATATTAGAAATTGTTGTTTGTTGTTACTACGTGTTATTTATTTACATATAAACTTAAACTCTAAAACTAATGAATATTAACTCAGTCATCATCACTGTCGCTATCCGACAGCGCCAGATCGTTGACCAAAATATTGCCTATATATTCCTGTTTTGTGGGCGGAATCTCTTCATCTGTTTTTGTAGCTGCTTCATCCTCATTTGCGCTTGAACTTCCATAAGGTTCTGTTATCACTACTGTCTCCGCAACATCTGTTTTGGTTTTGAGAAGCTGTTGTCTCAACTCATATTCCTTAGCCATTGCTTTTGCGAAAGCCATTGCCATTTCCTTCGTACGTTTCCTATCGTACGACGTTACAAGTTCCTTGATGTGCTCCAATTTATCGTGTAGATAGTCACAACGCATCTGACGTTGTAGCTGCTCCMTGCTGTTGAGGATTTGAAATTTGRCCAATATACGCTGATTGATGATCTCGTATTCCGGACAGTTTTTGGGCATATCAATAATCAGTCCACCGAGTTCGCGGAAACTAYTCCTTAGCTCTGTGGTCTGCTGGTAGAGTGGCATATATTCTTTATAGTATCGATGAAATGCMGCTTTATATTKYTGCCGTTGTTCGTTGTTGGTGATTTCCGTATAATCGCTAAAGTCATAGACMGGGGGCTGTATGACATCTATRTTAGTTATAGGCGATGGGGAGGTCGAWCGTAGTGAGTCCGTGCATTTATCAACGGTGGAATGCTCCATTCGCATTTTCTTCGTCGGTTGTGGCTCATCGTCGTTCACAGTTGACCGCTTTGATGTGCTGTAACCTTTTACGTGGTTATTTTTGACTAGTTCTGGCGGGCTGTTACTATATGTTGATGATGGGCTTTCGATGGAGTCTGGGGTAAGTTGAATTGAGCTGCTTGGCACTGGCAATCTTTCACGAAATTTGCGTGACGATGTATCCAGTAGTTTACCGTTTTCAATTTCAGTCTTAACTTCGGGTTGGYTTCTTACTCCAGCTTGTGACTTTTCTTTTAGGAACAGGTTTATACCATTGCCGCGAGATTGGTTCATGTTCCAAGATGTACTGATTGGATGTATTTTCYTCGYTGCTCTCCTACCATTGTAAGATCGGTTGATGTGCTTAGCAACGTTTTGTGGTGCCATGATGGGTTTATTGCTACTGTTTTAAAATATTACGTGTTGCTCGAATAAAATCCGTTTCGATTTTGATAAGTGTTGCACCAAAAAATGTCCTTATATAAGAAGCAGGTAGAGACTTAAGCTTTCTGTATAAAACTTAGGCCCCCATATTTCCTTCTCTGGTTATCTACCTGTTTCCCTGGCAAATTTCCGATGATGTCTATCGAAAGTGGAAAAGCCAGGTAGAACCACATTTATAGAAAAACATCTCTATGTCTTCTTTAGAGCTCTCAACTGCAAGCACCTGTGACAAGTGAAAATTAATCAAGATACCCTTCGATCCATCAGTAGCTGTTTCAACATTGAAAATTCGCTATTGTTATATGATATCAAAACATCTTAAACAAGTACGGTTGTGTTAATATAATTTTATCCCATACTTTAAAAAACGATCGTTAAAATATTTCTGGAAGGAATACGAAAAACGGTTTGATAATTACGGAAAGTCTTCAGTAATATTGGATTTTCGTATTTTTTCAATAGTTATCGTTGCAATAGTATATCTCCAGTGCTACCAATCACAATCTGTCGCAGCATATAGTGTTGGAAAGTGATATCTTATGCCCAAATTAACCAAAAAATTAAATTTGTGGAAGTGAAAAAGGAGAGAATGCCACGCAAGCCACTAATGAAAGTAATAAAGTTTATAGGGACAACAATGGTTCGCTCGTTCCGTTGTGGACATTTCGATTTACTCTGATTAAAGCTGAGTCGGAATAATAACTCTAACGGAAAATTCATTCATATTTGTTTATTTATTTATTATTATAATTATAAAGAAGTAAGGTGTAAGTTTGGTTAGAAATATGAAAAACTTTTTCGGACCCCCAACAATAATAGAAAACCTCTAGAAATATTTATGTCCAACTTATTTAAAAACAATGGAATATAGTTAAGATACATTCGTATCATTGCTACCTGTGATAGAATGAAAGTGTCCTCGCTCACCTTTAAAACAAACGCAGGTAGCCTCTTTCGTTGTATTGAAAAAGGCGTCGAGTAGCCGACCGCTAGTTCTACATTGTCCTTGGAAATCTCGTTAATATTTGTATCTGTTTTAAAACCATAATGGTAATTTTTTTTTTTAACAATGTTTTGTTGTGTTCTGGATCCGCCTTCTACACAACCGTTTGTAGAACAATAGAACGTCAAAAGTTTTGTTTCCATTCTAAATTAATGATTTATAAATAGTCTTGGACTGCATACCCTCTAGATTTATGTGGGAAAGAGGAGAAGACGAGGGGCATAGCGCCGAAGTTTGCGACACGCGGGCTGAACTCACAATATCAACACACGGATCAAAAATTGAATCAAATGGACTGAGAGCCGGAATGTACTACTCGGAAAGCTGTCCTCAAAAAATAAGGTGACATTTGAAGGATTTGGAAAAAAAAACTTTTTTTTAGGTTGGTAGTACTATCAGTCACATTTGTGTCAAATTTCATGTCAAAATATTCATTAGTGTTTGAGATACGTGTCGTTTTGTGAGCTGCTAAAAGTGAGTTTTTCGCTTTTTACGGTGTCGAAATTTGTTGAGCAAAGAATTTGCATTAAATGATCATTTCGCCAAAAACTCGACACATATCGTTCCGCAACCACCGTATTTACCTGATCTGGCGCCGTGCGACTTCTGGCTGTTCACCAAGCTCAAAAGACCGCTCCGGGAACACCGTTTTTATACGATAGAAGAGATTCATACCGCAGCGAAGACGGAACTGAAGGCCATCTCGGAAAGTGACACTATATACATTAAAATTTCAGAAAGATCTGAGAGCTCGATCAGAGTGAGATGGAATGTCTTAAGGACGGGCAGGATAGCCAAAATCATGTACAAGAGCCTAGAAGTATAAAAACTCATGCTTTTTGCTCACAAGGTCTCGAAAAAGCTGCAAAACGGTTGTTGGCTTAATGACAGGTTAAACATAAGTAATGAAGATTCATGCAGAAAATGCAGAGAAGTAGGCATGATGCAGACATTGTCACAACGAATATGCTTCTGTTCAGGGTTATTTAGAACTCGTCTTAGCTTTCAAGGAGCTTCGTAGTTCATGGGACTTGATGAAGTAACAGAATTTGAGAAGAAGTTGCGTTTAAAGTTCACTAAAAGCGTTGACGTTGTGATTGACGAATACTTCAGATAAAATTAAACGGAATCTCCATATGGCATTATTAAGGACCCGTAGGTCCATGTGTAGCGTAACCACAGGCCAGTATAACCTAAACTAATCATACTCATATCATATTGTCGAAAATATATTTAAGAAAAGAGAGCAATTGTGTACAACTTTGCTTCACGAATCCATTACTTTGCGCAATGCCGCTTGACTTGTGTCCTAACTTCCTTCACAGTACTGCGACTAACCACACAAAAGCTAAAACACACTCAAATATGTGTCGTACAATAAAAGTTTTATGTTCGCGCTGCCATTATTGCTCAAATATCTTGTTAAAGTGAAAAAGAGTGAACAAAAGAGAAATTAAGAGCACCATTTGCACATAAATCTGTTGAAACAATCACAACTTTATAGACGATATGTAAAAATAAGGCATTTAAACACCCAAAATTAGCTAATTTGCGCCTTTTATTGGCGCAGAGATAAAATTTATGGATTTGTAAAAAGTAAACGAAGTGCCATGGAAAGCGATAAAACATTTTAAATGCGATTATTTTCAAAAAATTTACGTACTCTTTGACAAGCTGAAAATGCAGCAGTATATCCATCTGTACTCCCACACAATGAAGCATGAATATCTTCAAATACATACGATTGTATCTTCAAGTGCCATGAGTAGTATATACGAAACAATGGGCGCTTAAAGCTAATAAGACCGTCATTAATAGGTCAATGGGCGGTGTAGAGGATTGCTAATGAATGAATATTTTAAAGAATTTTTGCATGGTACAGTTGTGTTTAGAAAAATAGTAGTGAATATAAATAAATTGGCTTATGAATTTTGACATTTTCTTACGCAAATTAAAGCAACTTTCGATCAATAGTGGTAGTCAGACTATAGAAATATATGTATGCCTTTACGGCTGGTTTATTTTTATGATCCGTTAATTTTAAGCTCTTCACTTCAAGACCAGAATGCTTAGAAAAAGCTACTTACGAGTACAGACACAGAGCTATATTTATGGTCTTTGAACTCAAGAATTCACCAGCGAGAAAAATTGAATTTTGTCAGTCAAAAATGGGCGCGCTTAACATCAGACTAAGTAATAGAACTAAGCCTTGTACTGAGTTATGTAGTGGTTAGAGCCCTTGGAAACATATGAAAAAATTCACAAAGTCTCAAGGAGTCCTACAAAGTAGTAAATAATTATTAAAGTATGTGTATTCAATTAGTATTAGTATTATTAGAGAACGACATTCCAATCTCTCATAATTTATATGAAGAAAATTTGATTTGAAACGTCTACAGCAAGTTTGGAGTAGGAACATTGGTGCAAGGGAGAACCAAGAGCGAATCGCTAATTTGATTTAGAACAAAAATGACTTTTAAATTGCTAAATGGCCTATCATCTTTCGAGTCTCGACGCAACAAATTATTATTAGTCTGATTGCAGTTGATTTAAATTTTTTGCCACCAACACCGATGATACAATAAAATTGTTAGTAGTAAGTTTTTGACGGTAAGGAGAGAAGGAAGAAATAGTCAGGTTAAGAAGTCGATCCTAAGAGGGATCTCAATTAGACAGCTTAAACTTCTAAATACTGGATTATAAGACCATGTCGAACAGCGCCTGCTAAATATACGCGACGTTCTTTGGTTCACAGATATAACACAAGTCTCATTTCGATGTGGTCCTTCCAGCTAACTCGTCGGCTTCGTAGCTGCCAGCGATTCAGCGGTGACCCGGCATCCAAACGAGTGCTGAAGTAGCCTGATGCTATTTGTAGTGAGGATAGACTTTCCTTAAGTGCTAGTACTTAGTGCCGCTGTACAGAGTCATACCGATGAGTGAGTGCTTAACTCCCTGAAAATAGCTGCACTTCGTAGCGTATCTATTGTCAGCCACTTCTACCTGGCAAAGACAATAGTGGTTCGGTAGTCTCGAAGCTATAATTGATGGTTACCTTTTTTTCCTCCCCAGCTTCGCCAAGCATCTTGTCTCCATCCAGAACTCTCAGAAGTATGTATATATTTTATATACCCAGCTTCTCCCAGGAAAATCGACAACACGATGACCTCACGCAATAAAAAGTATCGATCGCGTTATGGATTTAGACAATTATATCGCCTATAGCTCCTGAGATCTTTTTAATATTATATTGACTTTTTATTAAAACTTCAAACCACATAGATGCTGAAAACTAATTGAGAAGGTTTATAAAGTCTTGTATTGAACCACAATTTGACCTACTAGATCTTTCCCAATGAAACTAATTTGGTGCTGCGAACAAGCCAACTAAATTACAAGCTTGCATAACCATTAATAAATAAGTTGGACAGATTTGAGTACCCTGAACAGGGTATATTAAGTTTGCCACGAAGTTTATAATATTCAGCAGATACGTCGGAGATCAAGCAGTGATATGAGCTGAGTCGATTTAGACATGTCTGTCTGCATAAACACGAAGGTCGCTAAATTTTTGAGATATTGATATGAAATTCTGCACACGTTCTGTTCTCTGCAAAAAGTTGCTCATTGTTCGGAATTGTCGGTATCGGACCACTGTAGGATATAGCTGCAGTACAAAATGAAAGTACAAATTTTAGCTCTTATATGGGAAACTTTTTTATTTGACGAGATATCTTCACGATATTTTTCATCAATTATTGTTCATGACAGCGCCACAATATTGGAACAAATTGTTCAGATCGGGAGACTATAGCATATAGCTGTCATACAAACTGATCGATTAAAATCATGCTCTAGCTTGTGGCTTTTTTTATTTGAAAAATATCTTTCGGAAATTTTGGCAAACAATATTGTTCAAAAAAATTTCTGAAAGAATTGAAAGATTCAAATCGAACCACTTTAAGATATGGCTGCCGTACTACAA